GAACCCACCGGGGCGCCCCTCGGTCAGACCCGTCAGGCGTAGTCAGTGAATAGTACCCTCAGAGAACATTCTCCTCAGAACAATCAGCAGTGTGAGGCCGAGAGGACGAATGGAGGAGGGCCCCAGGGAAGACGTGGTCTGAGTGCTGTTACAGGTGACTGCAGTCAGTGTTCTGAAGCCATGCATGCATTGGAAAACTAACTTCTATAATGGTCACCCAAACCATAAAAAATAGCATTGTAAAATAATATAAAAGCCACAACAAAGCAACCACTATAACATTGCATTCAACTCCAATAAATTGCTCTTGGCCCAATCTTTTTGGATGTCCAGGCAAAAGGCACTTCAAGTTAGCTAGTGCTGCACTGCTGGTGAGGACCAGACTGCTGCTAGCGGCACCTGGTTCAAAAGAAAGGCTCGTCAGAGAAACGCGGCTGCCACGAGCAACCCTAGCGGGGTCCTGCTCCAGAAAAGGAGCCTGGTGGGAAAGCTGGCAAGCCTTGGATACGGCCTGTGATTCCTTAGGAATAATCAGTGAGGACCTGATTTTATGTGGGATGTTAACTGTAAGGGAAGCGTGGGGAAGAGAATATGGGAATTCTCAACTGTTTCTACAACTTTCTGTACACAAAAAATAATTTCAGAACAAAAGTTAAAAAAAGGAGGAGACTCACTGCTTAGGGGATTCCAGCTGAGCTTCTTCTGTTAGGGTGACGAAAAATGTGGAAATGGACAGACAACATGATCAACAAACTGAATGCTACTGAACTGTACATTACTGACTTGTACCAAAAATGCTGAAATGGCAAACGGTTTGTAACATATATGAGAAGGCTTCAAAACATTTGTGGAAAAATGGAATTAAAAGACAAGGGAATTTTCCATCAACTTTTGGAAACCTCTCATACATTTACCACACTAAACAAATTAGTTAAAACTACCACCATCGACACAAAAACAAGAGCGAGCGAGTGCGCAGCAAGGAGAGCAGGCCCGGAGCTGCTCCTTGAACAACAGCGCTCTCCGGAGCTCAGGGCGGGCTTGACCGCCTCACGGCCACCGTGTTGTTAGCGCAGACTTTCATCTCCCAGGGGAATTTGACTCCTGCCCTCCGTTTCTGACTCCTAAGAGAGACTAGCTAACAACTAAGAGAGAGATCCAAGGTCTTCCACTGGGAGGGGAGATGGGTGGTCATCAGTAGGGCCTGGCTATGCCACTAGGCTGGAGGTGAAACACGGCTGGTGTGTGTGGAATGCCCTTGGGCTAGGAGGTCCACAGCCTCTCCTCAGTGACTACTGTGATGGTGCAGGAAGGAGATGTCTACTCCAGGCTGACCCGCTGGGACAGCAGCACAGACCGGCTCGACCTCACTCACGGCTTCCCCTACAGCTTCCCGCTTCTACGTGGTTGTTAGTCCCTAAGGAAGACCCCGCAGAGCTGAACTGGCTTGTTTGGCACGGTTGTCCAATCGCAGAGTTGGGAGAGTCATAAAGCAGTCACTCTCCCATCCAAGACGCACCTATCTTGGCCCAGTTTCAAGGCTAAACAAACCATGGGCTGGATGTGGGGTGGGAAGGGCTCCACGGATCCCTTTTCCTTGGAATTTTAGGGCATGCGCAGGGGGCAGCTACAGTCTTGACTGCAGAGCCATCTATGTCTGGGCCTCTACCCTCCTTGCTCAGGAAGGCATTCTGGGGACTGAGCTGCGTGAAGGCCAGCAGAGGGTAGGCTGCGCATAGGCTCATCTCCGTTTTTCCCGTTAGATCTTTCCTTTGCTGCCATACTTCTGAGCTTCTTGGGTGCGTGGCAGGATAAAGTTGCCAAGGGTGTGGGGCATGGGGCCTGCTGCAGGGTAGAGTTAAGGGATGCCCTCCCTGCCTTGAAGGGCGTGTAGTCTGGGGAGTAGATTATAGGACGACAGCCAAGGGGCCAGAACAAGTCAAGACTCCTGCTGAAGACTTCAGGGCTGAGGAAGGCTCTCCAGCGTGTGAGGAGGTAGGTAAGCAGCCTTGGGCTGGGGGATGAGGCGGAAGCGGCACGAGGGGAAGACAGGCCAGTTGCCATGCCACAGCCCAGGGGCCTTTATTCGATGTTGAGGGCATGTGTGTAGATGCTAGAGTGTGTAGCACACCTTCTCAGGGTGTAGTGGTGCCCGGATGTCAAGTCTGTGAGTCTTGCTGTCCTTATCGATGATCTCCAGCCGTAGCTTGGGTGGACGCTTCTCAGTCTGGGACGAGGGCAGCTCGGGGCTCTTGAAGAGCTGCTTGTCGGAGTCCTCCACGGTAATGCGCAGCGTGCAGCCACCAGGCAGCAGGTCCTGCTCGTAGGCTGCCGCCAGCTGGTTCACCACGCGGCGCTCTACCTGCAGGGGGTGGCAATGGGGTTGTCACCACCGTGGCCTGGCAGCCTGAGGCCCAAGTTCTATCACTTCCTGCTAACTCCCTGGGGCTCGTCAGAAACCCCCTCAAAATGAGCCTGGCTTGTGCTGCAGCCCAGTGGTGTCAGTTTCTGAGGGTCCCCCCGCTTCCCACTCTCAAGAGGGTACACTGTGGGTCACCCTCCAGGACAAAGGTTTGACGTGGTCTTCTTGGGTTTTTGGTTCTCTGGGTATCTGTTCTGGGTGTGGATGACTGAAGCAGTCAAACTAGAGGCAGTCAGGCTGTGTGCCCAGTGGGGAGGGAGGTTGGGG